CGTGGCATCGAGCGCCTATGTACAAAACGCCTTGAACGCGCATTTTTATTTTTATGTTGCATTAGCGAGACGATGAGGATTTGCGGCGAGTCATGAGTTTCATTATGCTGAAAAGTTATTAGATTACTAGGCATTTTTAATTGTTTAGAAATGTGCATATCATGGGTGATGCATGGAGGATTTGAAATGCCTGCGGATAAAGTTCTGTCAAAACTAGGTCTAGGGCTATTTGTTAATTTATCGTAAATATTTATTAAGGATGGGCGAAAAAGTAGTTGGAAAAAAAATATGTAATGCATTAAGATTTACTTGCGCTTATATTTATTCGATTCGTATTATAAATTATTCATAGGTAATGGCACTTGAGCCGATTGATGCAGTATTATCTATGAAAATTGCAAAGTAATTTGAAATCAATGAAACGAATGCAAATATCATATAAATTACAATATTATAAAGTAATTATATTATTAGGTAATTTCTCATTGGACTTAACATTATAGTAATATAATGTAATAATATATTCAATTTGAAAAGGTCCTCTGCACATCAATGGATCAAAAGCTTTTTTTTTTTTTTTATTGGTATGCGTTTTTTATTCAATGCATTAAATAGAATTACCCCATATATAAGCAATATATCCAATCTTCTAGTTACTTATGCGTTTACGTAAGATTTATATTTTTTTTAATAAAGAGCGATTTGATATGTATATCTTATCTCCTATTTATCAATATTATTATACAATCGAACTTAATCATTTTATGCTATTTTAGCATAAAAATGAAAACAATGTTAAAAAGTTAAGGCCAAAAGATTTAACTTTAAAATTAGCTGGAATTATTATTGAAAGATGCATTATTTTAATACGTTTACTTTAATTCTACTCATTGATTTTTAATTATCGGAATAGTTAATGCTGCACTTTACTTATAATTACAAGGCGAATTATACTATAAATAAGCCTTTTAAATTATTTATAAATAATAATATTTTAATAGGTTTAGATTTTTAAAGAGTATCGATTAAAAAAAAAAAATGTATAGCACTGTACATCATTACTTTTTATTTACGTAAAATCGTATATACTCTACATGTCAGCATATTATTATGCACAACATATTATTATAGATATTTTTTAAATAATGATAAATCTTATATACAGTAATATTATATATTTCTCTTTTATATTATGCAAGGTTCTTT